GGTACCATACCATCCATTGACGAGGCCACCTTTTTATGGGCTCCTTCGAATTTTACGGCATCCTAATTAGCAAAGGATATATGCGTGTACGTCTTTTCCACTAATTCTGTCTTTTCCACTTTTCCACTAATTTCCACTTGTTTGGCTGATTTTTCTTTGATGTTTCCTGTTTACACATCAAAATCAGGATTTAAGAATTTAAGACTATATTACAGCCTAAACATAAAACATTTTCTTGGGCTCGTTATTTAGGAAGGTACTGTAGTTGTACATCATGATATTAATCGCAAACTGAATAAAATCTTGCTTTTCAGACGGGCCTGCCTTACGGTGTTCAATTTGGTGTCCGCGGGAATACCATTAATTTTGTTAATTTTGTGACACCGGCAATTTTAAAACAGTCCTATTTAATGCTTCACCACACAGTCCACACTATATAGATTTCACAGACAATTACGGCGGTATTCAACCATGTTGTGTACAGTTTTGCACTGCACTGTTGCTGAAATGTGGCTCTTTGCTGACAATCTGGTTGGTGATGACGCTGATACTGGCGATGAGAGTACACGCCTACAAAAAGCAGATTATTCACCCTAGAGTAGATTAGCGATTCTTAGGAGTTTACAGATACCACGCTGCTACTACCGTATATGCTATATACTACATACCAAATATATATAACCAAATATATATATATATATATATATATATATATATATATATATATATATATATATATATATATCAGTATTACCCAAATGCAATTGACCTATACCATTGGTATAGGTCAATTGCATTTGGGTAACCGATGCGCGTCGGGTAAAGGAGGAACGCGTAAAAATCTATCCATGACTCAGCGAAAAAATTATCGTCCAATCGTAAGTCGAGTACGCCTCTGTGTCAAGAAAGAAATTGAACAACTGAAAATTTGAAGTGGAACTGAAAAATTTATTTTTGATACGTTAGTGTGGTACTACGTCCAAAAAATGTTTATTCTGAGTTTAGAAGTGTGAATCTGGGTCGCTGGATGCACTTTTGGTTCAAACAAACAAAACTTTTGTTGATCTGTGCAGGAGAGCTGCGAGTTACTCGTAGTTTGGGTAACGGTTGCGCTTCGACGTCGAAGCGCAACGGTTACACGGACGGGTAAACTGAAAACCCATCCCAGAATTCTCGTTCACCAATCAAATCGTTTACCTGCTTACGCGCCGTGACGTCATGTTTTTTTACCCGACTGCCGCTTGCGCGTCGCGTAAGGCTTACACAGAGCAATTGACCTATGCCATTGGTGGAGGTCGATTACATTTGGGTAACCGTTGCGCGTCGGGTAACGGGGAAACGCGTAAAAAACGTGACGTAACAGCGCGTAAGCAAGTAAGCATTCTGATTCGTGATCACAAAATCTGGGATGGGTTTTTAGCTTACTTGTCCGCGTAAGCGTTGCGCTTCGACGTCGAAGCGCAACCGTTACCCAAACTACGAGTAACTCGCGCCTCTCCTGCACAGATCGACAAAATTTTTGTTTGTTTGAACTAAAAGTGCATCCAGCGACCCAGATTCACACTCCAAAATTCATAATTAACTTTTTTGACGTAATACCACATTTACCACATTACAGCATTAAAAATGAGTTTTTCAGTTCCGCTGCGGTGTTCAATTTCTTTCTTGGCACGGAAGCGTACTCGACTTACGATTGGACGATTGGGTTTTTGCTGAGTCATGGCTAATTTTTTACGCGTCTCTCCATTACCCGACGCGCAACGGTTACCCAAATGTAATTGACCTCCACCATTAATAAAGTACGGATACGCATCATTACAACGCCACATTGAAAAGGTGGGAAGGCAGCAACTGGGCTATATAATGTCGTGAAACTCCGTCCACTGACAAGAATAATCCAGGCTCCAAGCATTGGTACTTCATAATGTACACTCATTGTACGATTTTTTTCTGCCAATCAACGCATTAATTGAGGGTAACGCTACGTCGGCGGTGCCTGCCTCGCCTTCGCTGTCGGCCCATTGTTCAGACCGGATGCCATTCGCACGCTTTGACTGCTCAGCGGCGGCCGCATGCTGTGTTGTAGCGTTTGGCACACGCTCGTTCGAACTGTTCTTGTGGCACAGTGTTCGCATACTCGCTTCATGAATTCTCATTTTACGCTAGCTCAGTTCTTGTTCACAACGTCGCTTATTTTGTTCTCTCGCCCGCTGCGCACCTATTGCTCTCTTTCTGTTTATTTTGCTTGTACACAACCCAAATAAACGGGTTGAAAATAAAGGGGTTGCTTGTGGGGCTGGAGCGATCAGAGGCGGCCAACGCATTCGTGTTCACGGACTTGTTCGCGTTTCCGGTCAGCAGCTGCTCCAGTATCCCCACGCGCTGTTACGGTTTGCACAGGAGACGTAGAGCATTAACCTTTTGTAGCTGAATCATATTATTAGATGTACCACTGTAGTACCTTTAAAATTGCTATTCCGTTAATGTGGAATATGCCACCAGCGAGGATATCAAATTTCAACTGGTTGTGACTTAGCACAAGTGCATCCAGGTGCATCCGTATTTCGATAACCTAAACAGCACTGGCCAGTAAACTAAGCATATCCAAAAGCGTTAGAAGTGTTCAGCATTCACATTTAAGCCTTTGTAATACAACATACCTTGGAAGTATCTTTGCACCGTACACATTTGTCAAAAATGACGCAAATAAACTTGCTGAATTTCGTTTCCTGTAAGAACCAGCGCTTAGCATGGACACTGAGCGTGAGACTGCTGTCATCATTTCAATAACCTTGTGGCGTAGATCCAGTAGCGGGTAGTTGTAAGCTATCATCAGCACTCCATAGACGGACACCCCAGCTAGATCGACGTAGTTGGGGTCGGGCGTCAAAATCTGCACCATGGCTGTGTTAAAAAGCATGGCAGTTACATCGATCAAAAACGCCGCTCCCGCAGCCCATGTAAAAGTGTTGTTCACCGCCTCGGAAAGGGCGTGGACTTGTCGTCGAAAACATACGACGTCGTTCAATCGCTTAATTATTGTCGATACTTTTTCCTCGCCTTGTAATAACTGTTCCAGTGCTTGCAAACGCTTATAATATTCTTCAGTCCCTTTTTCCAGAATGCAGCAATAGAAGAAAAATGCAGATTGTATGACGAAGGCGTACAAACACGGTGTCAAGCCCAGGCCGCACCACATCAGATAAAATTTCCAACGAATCATCACCACGCCGATACGCGACAGTGCCCCACTGTCAACCATCATTTGCGCGATAAAATTGTCTACCGTGAAATTCTCGCCTGGCTTAAACCAAGAAATGAAATCCCAGGCCACGAACACAACCGCTGTCACCAATGGTAGGACTAGCGTGACCTTTGCAGTGGCGCGTATGGCTTGTCGCTTTGGTTTAGTGTCCAGGATATTTTGGAGTGCCAGGCTGAGACTTTTGAAATGACGTTGACCGATTAGAAATCCCATGATAATGAGCGGTGCTCGCAGTGGCGTAACGAAGTCTTGGATGTACTGGACTGCGCGCATTACTGCGTAGCCTGATGTACGATTCCGATAGGATTGCCGAACGTAGCCGGCGAAGAATATCATACCGATCGACAGCCCGCCACAAATAAATAGTATCTGAATGATACGAATGGTTACGACAAATAGTCTGAAAAAACAGTTTTGGCGCCCAGTAAATGGTTTTCCAAGCAGGATAAATGTTCTTGGTAAAAGCTGCATCTCCGTACTATCGGTATGTTTTCCGTTGACAGACATTCACTAGTGCTGGACCAAAATTCTTGATAAAATGTAAATAAGTGTGGGGGTTTACGGAATGCTTTAAATTTCGTTAACAGATGTAGAAGATTGACGGTTTTCAGTGCGTTAACTTTAACTTTTTCAAGTTTACTGCCTATGTACCAGTCTGTGAGATACGTCAGAGCATGAAATCTGATTGTATCCTGTTGTTTGTTTGCTACAGATTCTGATGGCTTATACTCCATGCTTTTATTTGGAACACGATCTTTTGCTGTCGGAAAAATGCGACTCCCGGAAGATAAAATGTAACTTTAGGCAGGTGTCGTGTTTCCGGTTGCATACCGCTTTAAGTACCATGCTTACCATGGTTTGATTCCTCTCTCCCGGTAGCAGCGTGTATTGTATAAGGCATACTTTATCAGTGGTATCACCGATCACGTATCGTAGATGCTTATAATTTGTATAGTTGTACACTTGCTGTTGTGCAGAGTAACAGCGTTTGCGGTTCCGTACTGCAAAGCGCCAACTTTATCCAATGATAAAACACCTCTTTGAAAATCTGACGCTGAAATATTTGTTATAAGCCGGTTACAGTGCGCATTTAATAACCTGATCCGCGGTAGGCTATTGTTCGCCTGTCAAGTTGCTGGAAGCGCTTTATACTCGTGTAGAAAGCGATTATTGAAGTGAACGTTTCTTGGCAGTTATTATTGTACGTTTCTTCATAAGCATGTACGTGCATTTAATAGAAATTCTGTTTAACCAGGAATATTCAGTGTGTTCTGTATAAATAGTTCGGAATTTCCACAAAAAAATCACCAGCAGCTAATTATATCCCGAAAATTCCTTTTTCCTGTTTTTCCGTACTGTGCATTGTGCTTGACAAAGGCTTTTGACTCTAGTGCCAAAATGGTGTACTATAGCGTAGTTTATTTCCGCTTCCGGTTAGGTTGAGCGGGACAATTCAGTTAATTCAGTAGGCAGGGCCACGGTTTCGCGGTAATCTTGCACGTCAAACGCTTTTGCTTCCATTGTTTTAAACCGGTTCCCATCAAAGCTGTTGCAAAACTATGGTATGCACTATGTTGGAATTCATAATTATCATATCGTTAATACCTTTCCATACTGTAATCCATCTTTTTATATCGTACTTGCACGTGTTGAGCCCCGAGGAAACTGTGAAACATGCATAGCTGCTACAATACACCCTGTTTCATACCGCATATTTCACAGATTTAGCTTCGACCACAGGATAATCGCTACGCAATATATGATTATATATTGCTTACGTCACGTTTAAAAATTTTAATTAATCAGTCACGTTTAAAAAATTTAATTCTGCCAAGCAATCCACTTTACATTGGGTACATTGGGCACGGTTTTAAGTAATAAAGTCTGCTCTGATCACTGAAATGGTGATACTCACGGCTTCGGCAGTCGGCTCGGCTGTAGTTTTTGCAAGTGTGATTAAACGACCCCTGCTGACGTTGGTATCTGCAAAGACATTAAAAATAATTACCGCCATGATCGCCAACGAAGAGAATTTTTCCCGAAAAGAACAAGAAGCCTTGATCGAAATGTTCTTCGCCAGAAACCATAACTTTATTTTACTAAAAGTGCAGAAAGCCATGGATCAAGCAGTGGCCCAGCTGGAAAACCAAATAAAAAGCGAAGCAGCGGAGTTACGCACTTGTGTCAAATTTGAGAAATTCGACCAGCAAGTAAACATTCTGCGGGAGAAAATGCGGCAACACCTGCAGAGTAAAGACGGACACGCGTCATTTCGGCGAAAGGAATTTCTTGATGCCTGCGCCGCTAACTGTCCCGGTGTTTTACTGGCACAACTCCATGCCGCAATCATACCCCACAATCCTTTGCAAGGAAATCTCCTGCGCGACATTATAGAAGCATTCGATTTTCCGGTTAGTGTTATTTTTTACATCGTTAAACAATTGACGTAGGATGACTACGAGGAGGATTATAGCAAGTACTTACTATAGTGTGAGGAGGACTGGTAACCTACCGTTTGACGTCATCGCTCTCGCATACACGGGAGGGCGGCTGCCATGGTGACAGATGCGTGTTTTTTACGGTTTTTGTCAGTTTTCTCAGCATATTTCTTTTCTCTTCTATTTCTAGCCCCTCATGTTTGGGTTTCTAAATTCAATATGATCTGTTAAAATATCAGAAAGCTTTAGAGGAGAAAGGAACTGAGAATATCTTTAAAAAGGGACAATAAAATCTGTGGGCCTATGGTAAGCAATAGCACACCAGTGCATTCTGTATGCGACAGTGATGACGTAGTCGACCGTTGCAGAGTCGCTTGAAGCGACTCGCTTCCCAGTCCTCTACCTATAGTAAGTTCTTGATTATAGTTAAGTCGGTAGTGGTAGCGCGTAGCTGCTGCGAGTTACGGTAAACTGAACACCATTTCTGTAAGCTATTGACGTAATAGTCAACCGTGGATGGCTGCATTTCCAACAACTGAGCAACAGTCAGCCGTGGGGGTTGCAATCCTTACTTACCAACCGCAGCTTTTGGTTTGTGCAACCATCCACGGTTGGCAGTTACGTCAACAGTTTACGGAAATGGTGTTGTTACTAGTAACTCGCAGCAGCTATGCGCTACCGACTCAACTATAAGTAATCCTCCTCGTATGGATGCAAAGGCGCAAGCAAAATCGTCAGGGTCCTCTATTTAAAAAACTCATGAAACCGGTTTTTTTCTGAACAGCAATGTTGCGCTGCAGTCTCACATGTACAATCTGCTTTATATGCGGGTTCACACTTAAATACATCATTTTTTTGCGAGTTCTGCGGTTATAATATAATATATCTCACCATCACAGTAAGCTGAAAATAAATAAGTTCATAGTTGGTTAAAAGTATTTTACGAGGAGCTTTTGTATTTTTAGCGTTATGAACCCTGTTCCGGTTACATCATGCTGTGCGCTTTCACGGCCATCTATTGTCGACTAACGTACCTGTCACTCACGGTTGTCGACCCAGAGAATGCACAACGACTTCCGCCACAATCCGTACTTGATGATATTTGCCGCGAGAAAGAAGAGATGACACAGAAGATCTCGGAAATCGCTAAGGCTCTCACTGACCACCGGGTACACGCGCAGTCCAAGATCTTCCGCCACCCTTTCGCTGCGACTTCCACACCGTCTACCCTGCAGGAGCTAATCGAAGGTCATCTGCGACTGAATTTGTTTCTTGGCGTACCCAGTAGCGCTAATCATGGACTGGCCAAGCGGATCGGACAGGAGCTGGAAGGAAAATTCCCATGGTACTCATGGACGGTCATTATAGCGGAAGATTCCCAAGCGCGCCCCACCACCATAACATTCTCGGATCATTTTAAAAACGATTTCTTCTTTCTTAATTCGGTAGTGCATAAGCTGGTAAATTTGGATTCAGCCACAGCTAACGATTCCGAAACCACGATATTTTCCGAAGGAAACCGGTATGTATTTCACGAGACAGGCAATAAATTGTCTTGCACTTATTTGCTTTATTACGAATTTCTTTAGAGAATGTTTCACCACAATCTGTTTGAATGATGCAGGTTCGGTTTAATCTCGTGCCGGAATAAGGTTGACATCGGGTATAGATCGTACGCACGTCGAATCAACGTATTTTGGTGTCCACCGGACGCGGTGAAAACTCTGTCGCAAGAGGAATATGATTTGGTAAAAGAAGCGGCCAACCTAAAGTACCTGCCGAACTGTCCAGTCAAGCGTATTTGCAACCATACGGCTACTCCAGAAAACGCAGCTCAGGTCATTCTGGAGAATGCGCTTCGGGCGTGTAAAAGCGAGTATGTAATGTTTCTTACACTTAGTAAAAGAAACAGCAAAGAGGATGTTGGAATCTACCCGAGAGCCCACACGGATCGTTCGGACAATCCTACATCATGGCCGTTTTGTATGAAAGATAACAAGGGAAGACATCTGTTCTTGTGGATAGCAGATGGTAGGATCAGAATGTATTTATACGCTTTACGCAGTTCTTCGCATCACGATACACTGATCTGTTAATCGTGAATCGGGTAAATTTGATTCTTTCCTTTCCAGCAACACCACACAGTAAAGCGCTTTTCGCTCGACGAAACTTTCCAACACTTGTGGACGGGCTGAAAAGTAGCTGGGATTTTGGCGTCGCTCCTTGGTAGGCTGGTCATTCTGTGGGGACATTCGATTTTGGTAGTAGAATACCATTGTAAAGGGTTTATTCTTTGTACTGTAACCAGCTACTATAGTCAGTAAATGCAGTGGGCGCCAATTGTGTTATCACATTAATCACAGCTGAATCAACCTTAAGGACTTGGTAGCCAACTCAACTCGCTCTCTTGTTTTGGGGAGCTGTTTGTTTTGTGATACTACTGTAAATCTTTTTAATCTGTTTCGTTAATACACACATCTACAAGTTTTTTGAAACTTTGAGTAAACGTAGTTGCTCTAACTCGCGATGGATGCGCTACCAACTCAGTTAAGTGCCTCCTCGCTTTGTTGAATTCACGTTCCGGTTCCCTTTTGCTGTAGTATGCGTACCGGTACAGTAGCATATCAACATCATGTGAGTGTACTCTGTAATCTGTATTGTACATAAAAATATAATGCGCTGTGTTAACCTTAGCTGCAAGAACAAAGACTGATCGGACAATAGTGCTGAATGTACTTATGTACAGATACGCATGTTTTTAGCACGGCTGTTACGCTGGATTCAGCCAAGATCGAGGACGAACTGACTGATCAACTGTTTTTAAAAACAAACGACTGGAGTAATCAGGCGCACCCATCAGCGGAAGTTCTCGAAACAACGAAAAAGTGCAGTCTTCAGTTGCTTCCACAAGAAAAATTAGGAAAAACGGAAGAGTGGATTGCCCAGAAGCTTCCAAAAGAAGAAAAACCCGAAAAAACGGAAGAATGCATTGCCCAGTTACTTCCAAAAGAAGAAAAACCAGGGGAAACAATTAAAAGCCATCAAACGGTCCGGCGGCTCGTTACGTCGTATGAACATTTCCTGAACCGGACATATGGTTCCAGTGGGAGTGGAATTCAAGATGACTGTGTATTAGCATCCCTTGTGCCTCGTGAGCGAGGAGCAGGTGCGTACACTTGATAGCTTTCAAGGAAAGCGCTTTATAAATACAAAGAAAAAGGCACCACATGACCTTTTTACAATTTGATCTCGTTCATATGATAACCCGAGGGAAATCTAATGACGCTTTATTCTCATTTTAATTTACTGCTTTGGTATACTTCAGTTCCGCTTGCTAACCGATCATTTGCAGTTTATAATTACAGTTCAGGAAACTGATCACCCAATACGAGGACATTTGGGTGCTGTGAACATACCCTGCACGATTAGGCTGCGATGAACAGCCGGCTAAATTTATAGCCGTTTGCATTCAGACTGTGATAACAGTAGCGTTGCGAGCTACGGCTAACCAGCTGTTCATCGCAGCCTAATCGTGCAGGGTATGTTCACAGCACCCAAATGTCCTCGTACACGATCGTAGATCAGCAGGTATGAAGCGTCACAGAGCGGCGGCTTGCGATCTGTTAGCTGACTTGCATGTTTTACTGTGCGTTCCAGCTAACCGAGTACCAACCGTCCCTGTGACGTGTTGCACATCTGTTGATCCGATAGCGCGTGTTGAGAATCTTCTGAACCGTAAACTGTGCTTAGTGTGCTAGTGACAAATTTGCGAGCGGAACTGAAATTTAGACTTTGACACAGGAGACATGAGACCTTATTCGATTTGGTGCGATTTGGAACCCAGCGCAGTGTCGGCTCCGGATGTAGTAACTGGACATGCGGAAAGAAGAAACAATGGTGACCCCAACATGGCAGACAGCAAAATAATTAGCAAGGCGCAGTTGCACGCAGAGGCTCAACGAAAGCTGAAGCAACTGGAGACAGAAGAAAAGCGCTTAAAAGTGGAAAAATTGCGAATCGGCGCTGAGAAACTAAGATGGTCCGCTATACTGGATATATTGGAGATGTCCAAAGAGCAGCTGAATCCAGGGTATGGAACCAACGGTGGCATTGAAGACGAAGGAGTGATAAGTTGACATCTATGACCAATTTTGAAAAAACAGCTGTGTTACACAACTACTATACAATTACATGTCGTATCATTTCACTAGCACAAAAAATGATTCACAGTGATGATGATTAATGATTCTTCACAATGACTGCAAATTTGCACAGATGCGCTTTTTCTGGAGGCAGTGACAAAGAGAACAAAAAATTGTAGCGAAGCTTACAGAAAACTCCGCGCTATGCATCTCTAACTGGAAATTATCTCTCGAACTGGCAGTTTATTGCTCAAGATATATAATACGATGCAAAATATGGGTAAAATGTAAGATATATTTTAATAATTTGTTCAAACGTTTTAATGATTAAAATCGCATAAAATGCTTTTTCTAACCAAGGCACATTTTCCCCCTCCAAATTCAAAAAATTCTCATATTTTGTAAAATGGTAATGTACGTAATGGTAATGTATGCTTAAAAAAATATTTTTAGCTGCCATCGTCAAGGTGGTGTGGCCAGACAACAATTAAAAGTTTGCATACTGTCACATAGTACTGTGAAATGCAGTGCAGTACAAGTTATTCGTAATTATTATGTTAACTTTTTCCTGCAGCACCGTGGACTTTTGCAGCTGTCCGCTGTCGTGAAATGATGTAAAAAAGACGGCTCGCGCCATTGCTGCCTGAGTACACATTTTCGAAAATTTTTCATCGATTTGTGCTGTAAACAATAATTTGTGCAAAAAACTTTTTTCTGCTACTAAACAGATATGTGCTGTGCTTCATAACAAATTTTCAAAAATGTGCACAGGCACGAGCCGACGCACGTGGGCTTCTTTTACATCATTTCACGACAGCGGACAGCTGCACAAGTCCACGGTGCTGCAGGAAGAAGTTAACATAATAATTACGAATAACTTGTACTGCACTGCATTACACAGTATGTGATAGTAAGCAAACTTTTAATTGTTTGTCTGGCCACGCCCCCTTGACGATGGCAGCTGAAAATATTTTTAAAGCATAGTGCAATAGTACACTACCATTTTACAAAACACGAGAATTTTTTGAATTTGGAGGGGGAAAAATGTCCCCTGGTAAGTAGCCGTAAAGAATGTTGCTTATGATGACACATACACGGAATAAGCACTTAAATGTAATTTGTATTGGAGACGGGGAGCGTTTTGTTGCTAGCCTGCTTCAGGCCATCTGGACGGGATCTGACACAAAAATATTAAGTTCAACGAAATAAATGCGCTTTAAAATTTACGCGACGGAGAATAGGGATGTAACCATACCATCAGATAGGTTAATTAGACTGCGTAATCTACCAGTCATGTCATCCATAGTAATCCTTGCTGCAAATTAACTGCAGAAACAGCAGAAATGTTGAGCATGTTTGATAACCGGCGAAATGCGAATGTGGTGCTTTAACTCATCGAAGTCTGGCCCCTTTGCACAATATCACTGACAATCACCAAGGGATTGCCCCACACAGGAATACAATTGAGCTGCAGGTTATCTAAAGGCAAAGTGAATAAACCGATACTTCAGGATACATTGGACCGGGAACCCTGTTCCCAGCCTACAAACGCTTAAATTACAAAGTTTCAATCGGTCCTTGCATTTACAGCTGGGAAACCTTTCACGAAGGTTACTTTATTCAGTGACTGTGCGTGGCTTTGTACAACTCTACTCGTACGATAGATAAATCAGGCATTTAGCGGAGCAGAATGCCAGAAACAAAATTAAGGATGAACGGAAGCAATAAACTTTCTCTGACTTTTTTTGCCAATCGCGTGGAGACCGTACCAGGAAGAGAAAATGGTGGCGAGAACCCAACAGTTTTGGAGTTAAAGATACTAGTCCGTTGTTTACTACGCTTCTTGGGAATCTCACAGTCAGAGCAACAGAACCCGCTGCATGGTTGTGTGTTCCGACTACTGCAGATTGTCGTTTTCTGCAGTTCCTCTGTAATTACCACCTTCTACATGATCTCGATGGGTGTTACGCTAAAGGAGCTGCAAGGTAAAGATCTGGAACTGGGTGATGTGCTACGCACCGCTTTTTTACTCTTACAACCGGCACGTAGCTGCCTGTTAATTATAGCGTTACTTGCTGGGAAAAAGCATATGCACAGCATAGAGACCAGCGTGAATGCGGTTCTGGATTTCCAGCTTTTGGAAGCGCAACCGGAGCATGGTATTCGATTTACTGTGAAACGAGCATTTGCTGTTATCATCACGGTTATTATGGGGTTTGTTTTGTGGGACTTTTTTACATGGCTAGGTATGGATGATGTCCATTACAGTCTTTTAGAATTAACCAATGCTACAAGTCCAACATTCGAAACAATGGGCATCAGTCTGGTGCGATGGAAATTCTATCTTGTATGGCTCGCATTAGGCTTGACATCGTTTGCTTACTCCATTGTCATTCAGTCCTTAGTCATTGTTTTGTGCCATGTTCTGAAGAAAGGTCAAGAAAAGTATAATCATCAGCTGTGTTCCTTACACTTGTCTAACAACGTTTCGACGCTCAGCGTAAAACTAGCGGCATTGTTACAATTCCGTGACGTATTGCTGAACCTGTCTGACAACATCAGCACATCATTGCGATTTGTTGTGACTACTGCTTATTTATTCGATGCTGCTCTCATGCTGATCAACGCTTATACATCCAACATTCTGTCTGTCCAGCCCAAATATACGCTGTTAGCCGGCGGGGCCGTGAACGGGTTTCTGCTTATTATTTTCTGCTATCCGATTGTGAAGTTGGACTTGTTGGTGAGATCCATAAAATAATTTATAAACACAGACTTCCCCTTTTAAATGTCTGTATAACAGCAACAGTTCTAACTAGAATTGGCAATTTCATCAGTTACTGTTACAAGATGTATTTTCATCCGTTTAAAGGAGAGAAAATCACGGAACATTTTTATTTATTTTTGTTACCTCATAAAGAATGTTCCTAATTACAGGAATCCGAAACTAAGATGTTGCTATATAAATCCATTCAGATCAACAGACGTTTGATTTTGAAACATGAAGTAAGGCCGTCTCAAATTTAGTGCCACTGCTTCGCAAACACAGAAATATCACTGTATTGAACCAAAGAAGCAGTTTCTCTGTTAGTGTCATCCACCTCGTGAGCATACCGGAAATGAAGAAACGTTTGTTTTCGATACTATAGAACTCCGAAATCGATCGGCTGATAGGAATGCTAGAAAAGCACCACAAACTGAGGCTAGGATTTTCTGGAGATCTCAACATTACCGGATCGCTTATGGTCAAGGTACCTACCGGTGCATAAGTTAAGCCATAATTTAGCTCTAACTCTCAAGTTTAAGCGGTGTGTCCTTTGCAGACGTTTGCTTTGATTGCGTCGGTACTGATTCTAGCAAGAGAATTCCTAAGAAGACAATGAAACCGGAGCAACAAAAATTTAGAAAGCAACGAAAAGATTGCAGCTGTTTATCATTGGTTGGTTTCTCCGTTAAATTATTGCTGTCAATCTGCTTAGTGACACTGTGGACTTATTTACGTATTTTCCGGGTCACATCACATTACCGAACGATAAAAACAGCTGCCCAAGCTTGACAGCTGCTGAATCTGTTGCTGATTCATAGAAGGATTTAACATTTTTTGCGTTTCTCCAGTGATTTCACCGTAAGCGCCGCATTAGTTTTAAAATACCCAAATCATCTACTTCTATGACGTTTGATGATGAATTATTTACTGCACCGGATTTAGAGGCTATGACGGATTGTGTTTGAAGTAACACAGTGCAGAGCTGTTGTACTGCATTGAACTTTTACGATCTGGGCGTAAAACGGATGCGGTTGCCAAGGTTTACCTTGGTTTAATTGGTTTTGTGCAGGAACAGGTGCCACTCATGCCCCCATACAAGTGTAAATACGAGCTACCAAACAATGATAGATTGCTAAAATTCGAGTTTCCAGACCAGATCACATTACATAAGCTGAAAGAGACGCCGAGCAATCGAAAGTGTCCTTTAAACACGCATTCCAGTAAGCGCTTTCTCTTGCATTCCTAATAGTAGAGTATACGTGCATTTAAATCGATTTGTTCCCGGAACCGGCATGAAATGCCGCGTGTATCGTATTTGCTGAACGTGACCTGCACTGCAGAAATTTTCCAAAAGTGTCGAAGCATTTATTTTGACTTTTGAGCCTAAAATAACTCGAGTACAATACAACTGTCTTGGTAATTTTATCAGCAGTTTGTGCTGTACTTTCTTGGTTGGCAAATTCCTTAGAGTCAGCATACGTGTGCAGAACCAGTCAGATAAAGTCTCGTCATTAAGATGCTAGAAACAATTATAAATCACACGTCTTTCTTCTCAAATTCTACGTCAACCGATCCGGATTCCATTCCATACGGCTTTGTAACGGTGGTTTCAGCTATCTGTGTCGGCACGATTGCTTACAACCTTTTATTCATTTCGGCGTTCATACGGGACCCGGCAGTGCGAAATCCCTTTACGTATTATTTACTAAATGTCTCCTTATGTGATCTTGGCTTGGCCGTCTTCAGTATGCCGGGTTTTGTGTGGTTTACCTTGTCTCCTTGGTCCTGTGCGGCGTACTGTCCATACTATAATTTTATCGATAAGCACCTTTTGACCGGCACCGGCTACGCAGTGATGCTAATCAGCATTGACAGGCTGCTGTCATTGTTTGCCCCGGTTTTTTACCGGAGGGTTCGATCGGTAAAGACCACATGCGCGGCTTGCGCTCTAATGTGGTTGTTACTGTTTGCTCTAGTCGCTCCATATATTATCATGGATTCTGTTTTCTATAATCCCATGACACTACCGTGTTCGATTAATTTTGGGGCACAGCGAGTGTATTCTTTGATCATGGAAATTTTGCCTATGATATGCCACCGATATTTGTGTTGTGCAGCTATGTGTTGATATTCTATCAGCTTTGTCAGCGTTCATTCAGAAGACATTCTACCATCAGGAAGATACGTCCAGGTAATTTTGATGCGGCTTGCAAAATTTAATTTTCTTTCGTAGAAATTTTCGAAATAACATTTTACAAAAACAGGGTGCTACTTGTTTAGATATGTCAAAGAAAAGAGACAGTCAACTTCTGACCCGTCCTGACGCTGAGAACACCGGTAGCAACGAGGGAAAGATTTACAGGTTATTCGCGCTTTTGGCGCTGTGTGTATTGGTGTGCTTTATTCCGGCGATGGTCTACTACTTGATTGTGGACTTCACAGACTACTGGAACGACACAATTTTTGCTGTGGTGGTGTGCTTGCAATACGGAAGTTGTGTGCTGAATCCTCTGATTTATCACTCCAGTTTACCAGGAATCCAGAGAGCCATTAAGAATATATTAAGCTGCTGGTAAATTCGCAGCTGCTAGTTGGCAAAAGTCAAGTTTTGTTAATAAAGACTCGTTTAATAAAGATACGTGTTCAAGTTGATAGGACAAAATCAACTTTTGCTACATGACCACCTTTGTCGAAATGCTGTAGTAATTAAATAGTTTAGCATTTGAAGCAAATACAAGCGAGGCTGATGTGTTTAATACCTAAAAATACTTCATAGCGCTGCGCTTGCAAGCATTTAAGCGAGAGATATACGACGCATATGCATAACCTACCCAAATCATATGCACTGCCAAAGCCTAATTGTATACTTCAAAGTATCTATTAGGCAGATGCAGTTACTGGCAATTTATTTAATATATTGTGGTTTTTTTAATGTCGTTCTATGGTTTTTCGTTAAGTTCGTGCATGTGAGCAAATTAATGGAAACAGCAAGCGTAGAAAGTCTAAGTCATAGAAAGTTCACAAATTTGTACGCAACTAACAAAAACTGCAATAAATAAAGTTCAAAGATATAATGAACCGATTCTCGGCTATTATCAATCGAAAAACAGAAACTGGTACCGCGGAGAATCGATTAGAAATATTCAATCGGACTGCTAGATGTTTGTCCGGTTCTAACACCTGCTAGAGAGTGATGTTGCTGCAGATCTTTGTAAATTCGCGCGTGAAGGTATTGGGTCTGTCCGGTTCGTATCTGTAAAGAATTTAGTCTTAACAGAAAACCAAAAAAATGTTTATTACTAATAAACGTTTACTAAGGTTTAACCTTTTGAAAATTCTCAGAGATCAAAGAATAGTTTATACTGTACACTGTAGTTAACGTTAAAAATTGCCACAAGATGGAATACCTTGACAAAGTAGTTGAGACCGGCAACCACCTGAACGGTGTAAGACACTGGTACCAGTTGAGCATTGGCAGATAATCCAGCGCGGGAAGCGATCTGACCTTGAACCTATGGAGATAAGCCACTGTAATCGCAATTCGGAAATTATGGATGCTTCAGCGGTCGGTTGTTATTGTGCTTACCGCTTGTACCACTCTTTTAACATCGTCATCCGCCGGCCTAGGCTGGCCCATTCCTCCCACCATTCCTCCGCCCATGCCACCGATCTGGCATTCTACTACAGCCCATGCGCATAATGCCACTCCAATAAACAGCCTAAAATAAAATATAGCCGGCATATTTAACAGAAATTAGCGTCAAGGAACATCCTACCGCTACTTCTAACTTGGTTACCAATTGGTTGACGCCATTCTGAAATAAAAAATGTGTCGGAGCCTGGCGGTGCTAGTGTGTGATAAGGGATAATACTGTACTGCAAATAAAATCCAAGAAACCACACCGCTACAATTCGCACGTATGCTTGCAAGTGTTTTATACGTTAAACACAAGTCGCTTGGCGGATCACGTGCATTGCGTTGTGTGCTTAAATCTCGAGGAGCATCTTAACGCAATAAAAAAACGCCACACAGGAAAAAATACTGGAACAGACAGCTTTGCCAGCAAATTTTAATATACATCGAGCGAGATAAATGCGAAGTGTCGTAAAATCTGGAGTGTACATGATGCTAGATATTTTGCTGCAATAGCAACGGTGACCAGCATTATCTGTATTTCTGATACTGTGTTTCTGTGAAATTCTGTATAGATCCGTTTGTTTTTGATTTTAATTATTATGCCGTGCTATATATGTGGTAAAGTTGTGGTCGGACGACAATAACAAAGCCCACATAATTCTTGAATGCGCATACTGCATACATATCCATCATTTTTTCAATAATATTGAAGCAATCGAATTTCAAAGAAATTTTAGTTTCACCACTTGTGTTTAAGGTTTGCGCTAGTTATGACAAAATTGCTGAAGTTAGGCAAAATAAATGTTATGTACATGAATGCGTTATTACAACTCACAGGCGAATACTTTTTCCACCAGTCTAAAGAATTTGTAAATCTGTTACCGTAAACCTCACACATTTTGCCATTTTGCGGTGATCGCGCTATATCCTATTTCCTACCAACATTTCCAACGTGCATTAATAACATTTTACTAGCATTTTCCTGTAATTTATTTGCGTTAAATAAATTAGACTCTGCGTTAAAACCACTCTGACGCTAACATTGGTTTCTTTTCAGAAGAACGGATAATTAATGTTTATTTTTACTTGCCTAGCCGATGCTGACCTTTGACTCCAGTTACTCATATGAGTGCGCAGTTGTATCTCTAGTTGTCGCTGGTATGCGGTTGTGTTCACTGAATATCAGCAAAATAAAACAAAACAGGTAGAAATGGCGAAAATTAAATAATTTATATATAACACAGAATAGCCATGAATATAGAAACAAAATCAAAAGTCTTGAAGAAAATATCAAAAGTCTCGAAAAACCTTTTACAGTTTTGCACCGATTTTGTTGTGTACGGGTATATCATAAAAATGCCGTAAGATCGCTGAGAAAACGTACAAAGCGCAATTTCCCATGAGCTCTAGATTACTATTAAAAATTAATGTCATTGCTATAACGGTATTTATAGCATTTCCGTTGCGATCCATCTAGGCATTTAATAAAAAGGTTTTCATTTTAAGACAATGAATGATATATTCCGTGTTAATTTCATTTTTTCATGCCATTTGTTTTTATTTGGCATGGATGTGATTTGATCGTTAAAGTATGCTGGAAATTAACTGAGTGTAAACACATGTTAACGCTTTCGGACTCGTTTAATTAAGTTGCCGCTTTGTGGATGTCGGGGCAAGTGCTCGAAAGCCGGCGATGTCCAAACGGTCGCAACTGAACGGCGCCGCTGGTCACCGACTTCCGTTGAGACAAGCCGCGCCGAACACCCCTTTATTGAATTTCTGAACACAACAGAACGTTGTAGGCATGAAAAAGAACATCGTAGAAACCATAACAAGACATGAATGATACTGGATAGTTCCGGGTGGGCGGGCGGGTTTTGGCGAAAAAATTGGCGAACTAATTACTAAATGTTCAATCAAAGAACTATGCTTTCTTCTACTAAATTGTTAGCGTCATCACTGGATGAAGCTGCTACGTTGCCAGGGACAAACGAAACTCGCCCGGCGTTAACGGTATTTAACGCCTACAGCGTTAAATAGCATTAACGCTTTCGGACTCGTTTAATTAAGTTGCCGCTTTGTGGATGTCGGGGCAAGTGCTCGAAAGCCGGCGATGTCCAAACGGTCGCAACTGAACGGCGCCGCTGGTCACCGACTTCCGTTGAGACAAGCCGCGCCGAACACCCCCAAAGCGACGCCGCGCGGCCCAACCGGAACGAGAAAACGCAACCGAACGGGAAAGAGAGTATTAATATTTCATGACAATAAACGGTTGTACAAGTGACAATATGGAGCGGAAGACTTATGAATGTATCTGTTAACGACATTACTGGTCCACCGTCCCATCTTTTGAACGTCCACATATGTTAAACCGACGTTAGCCGCGGTTGAAGCTGCACCAATCCGAAACGAATGGGTTGACATTGTGGGACCGAAGCAACTATGTAGCAAATCGGATATATATTGACGAGTTAAATATTTTCCGTCTGAAAAACAAAAGAATGGAGATGAAGAATCAAAACGGGTATCCCGAAGCGCTCGATAGCGAGAAACAGCAGTAACGGGGCACGTGATATCAGATAGAGGAGGAATAGATATAACAACGGGAGCATGCTGAGATGTTTTGCTTTTCCGCAGTGTGATCTGAAGACAGGAAAAATCACACGAAATATCTGAACCACGAAGACTGTGGGTAGCTGATCGGGATTGAGTAGGAGCACAATATTCAGACACACGCATAAATCCATAAAAAGCCATCATCGTGGCAGCTTGCAACATGATGCGATCAAACATGCAGTACGGAAGTGATTGAATATAGTGAAACAAAGAACGCAGATTTGCTACTGTTAGTCCGGCACGCCTGATGGGAGGTGACCCACGGATTCTGGACCATCCAGAAAAAAGCAGCGCCAGGCGGCGTTTGTCCGGAATAGGATCCGGATAGCCATTAAGAGTGCTATATGTTGTAATGGCCGAAACGTACACTCGCGCTGTGGCTACAGTTAATTTATCCAAGAAAAGTTGTGCAGCAAAATTTAAGATGGTTTCAGAATCCGTGGGCACGAAAGGAAAACCGTTACGGTTACAGAATGATTGGAAAGTTCGGAGAGCGACCCGATACACTTTTTGGCTGGCAGATGACAAATGCGCTTGCAATAAAGTTCGGATAACTGGGCGAAATGGCGCATTATGAGCATTTAGTACGCGAGCGTTTTCTGCAAAAAACACAAAATGTTAATAACAGTGGACAACAGAACATCATTAAGAGTCAATAAGAGACAAAGGGATACTTTGACCGACGATTACGACATTTGGGTGGAGTAGCAAGAATGTCGAAGAATTCGGCGACATCAAACGGAGGGTCATCTCGAAGCCGATTTGCCGTCGGTAAGAGTTCAAAAAACCGCTCAATATTGTCACGGGACAACGCGTCTGCTGTGGCATTACTCTTCCCAGGTATGTATAAGATGCGTAGATGAAAATTATACCGTGCAGCCTCGAAATGTAATGCTCTGATTAGTGCCATGACCCCGGGATGCTTAGAAGAGAACTTGCTCCAAACTGCTGCTACGGCCTGATTGTCACAGAAGAATGTAATTCGCTTGCGGTGCCAGTGTGTAGCCCATAGTCTGCATGCGCAAAGAATTAGCAGCATCTCTAACCAAGTGATATGCGGATGCAGATTCATAAGTTCAGGTGGCCAAATTAAATGAAACCATCGGTTACCAAAACATCCGCCGCAGCCGACGTGAGACGCATCCGTATACAAACTCAGACTGTCTGCGTCTGTCCAGTCTGGCTCAACAAAAGAAGCAGTGCCGTTCCATAGAGGCAAAAACTTAATCCACCACTCTAAATCGGCGCGAAATTCGGAGTTCAGATTAACTGACTGATGTAGCAAGCGGACTGAATTGGCACAATCGATCATTCGTCTTAAGAAGATCCGACCCGCCGGAATATATTTCGTAGCAAAACTAAGCTTGCCAATAAGACTCAGAAGGTCACGCTTTGAAGCAAACTGCCTAGTTGAGAACACTGTGAACTCATCGATTAAATCTTGAAGTTTTCCTGGCGGAAGCGAAATAGTTTGATCGACTGAGTCCAGGACGACGCCGAGAAAAGTTAATTTCGCTGAGGGCCCTTCAGTCTTATCGGGCGCTAGCGGGATGCCCAGATCCAAACACAACAACGCCATAAGCTCAATGGCTAACTGACAAAGGATGGAACCGCATGGACCCGCGAAAAAGAAATCATCCATATAGTGCAGGACATTCCGAAAATGACATACATTTTGAATAATCCATTCCAAAAAACAGGCCATTCTGTCAAAAATTGCGGGCGAAGAGCGGCAGCCGAAGGGTAATACGACATCAAAGTAATATCGGTCGTCAAAACAATACCCGAGAAGGTGCCAGTCTTGGTGTCTGACAGGTATGAGGCGAAAGGCATGTTTCAGGTCCATTTTGGCCATGATGGCACCGGCACCTAACTTGATGATAATACGAATTGCGTCATCGACAGAACAGAACCGCATAGTGTATGTTTTCTTGCAAATGTAATCGTTCACAGAGGTGCCGAAAGGCCGAGAAAGGTCCATAATCAAGCGTGCTCCTCCGGTCTTCTTCGGTCTTACTCCTAAAGATGAAGTGACGAAAAATTTAAAAGGAGGAGATGTGAAAGGTCCCAAAGTGTGCTTCAATTCAATCTCTTTGGCAATGTAACGACGCACTATTTCCGGGTACTGTCGAGCAGTGAGCGCGTTGGCAGTATGACGAGCTAAACTTGGGCCAGTGTATCCAATGGAAAAACCATACAGCAAACCTGTTATAAACTGATATACAACGCCACGATTGGGGTACTCACGTAGATAGCCAAGGAATTTATAGGGCTGTAGTGGAGTGAAAGGATTGGTTGGTAGACGCGGTCGAGGAAGAGTGGAAAGGTCGGGTGTGGGTTGCGTCGAAGCATTCATCACAGATGTGCAATCGACGACCGGGGCACGGGTTGGAGCATCGCCCCGCGTTGTAATCCCGGCAGACTGCAACGCGGGGTGGACGAAAGGGCTGATTCGAACGGTGTGCGGTACCGAGGTCACGTGGCTGGGTGATGGGAGCGGTAGGGGAACGCTGTGCGGGAGCGGATACATCAGACGGGTTACGACGCTGCGGGCATACATTAGCGTAATGCTCAGAGCTGCGGCACAAATAACAGCCAAAGGGCGGCTTCGCTGAAACCAGAGGCGGTGGCGAGCGGACGTCTTTTTGGAAAAGAGGACCCGTGTAGCTCAGTGGGATGGTACGCATGACCTCAGCAAT